AACAGGAAATTCCATTTCCTGCCCACAGGGAGTTTATGTTGCTCTGGAAGCAGAGAGGCAAAAAGAAATGAAGAGGGCCGAGGCGCGGTGGCTTGCGCCTATAATCCCAGCACTTTGGGAGGCCGAGGCAGGTGGATCAAGAGGTCAGGAGATGGAGACCATCCTGGCTAACACAGTGAAACTCTGTCTCTACTAAAAATACAAAAAACTAGCCGGGCAAGGTGGCGGGCACCTGTAGTCCTAGCTACTCTGGAGGCTGAGGCAGGAGAATGGCGGGAACCCGGGAGGCGGAGCTTGCAGTGAGCCGAGATCGTGCCACTGCCCTCCAGCCTGGGCGACAGACCGAGACTCAGTCTCAAAAAAAAAAAAAAAAAGAAAAAGAAAAAAGAAAGAAAAGAAAAGAAATGAGGAGGAGAGAGGAGAAGAGAGTTACAGAGTTTCCTGTGATAGAAACTAAAGGAGGAAGACTTAAGGAAGGCCTCCTGGAGGAAAGGGCATCTGCATATTAGTTGGTTTTCTCCCCATCATCCGTTCCTCCTAGCCTGTCCTTCTAGTACTCAGAATTTCACCGCAGCTGGTCCCTATGTTTTGGGTGGTGCTGACTTCACTCTCGTCCTTTCCAGAAATGGACTCTGATCTCCTTAAACCCCTTGCCCTAGTGACTGTCTCAGATATGGGTACATGGCCCAAGGCAGGCTGCTACAGGAGACTATTCCTGGATTTGAGTTTGAAACTTCCAGGAAGCAGAGAATCACTTCCTGCTAGATTTGCACCAAGAAAAGGGATCTTGGGAGCTCCTGGGGCCATCCTGGAAGCATGAGGGCTGCTCCTGCTCATAGGCCTGGGAGATGGAGCCCCCAAAAGAACAAGAGAGAAAAGGGGCCTTGGATCAGAGTGGAGCCCTAAATGAAGCTTCACCTGACCTGGACACAGATTATTCAGCTATTGGAGCCAATCAAAGTCCTTTTCTGCTAAAGCTCATTTGAGCTAAGATTTGTGACTCACAGGCTAAGGCAGAGCCAAGTGCAGAGACCCAGTATCTGAGCAGGATGGCATGCATGAGGGCAGAGCCTAAGCCAGAGCCCAGAGGAGGAGGGGAGCGGACGTGGGGTAAGTCTGGTGAGGCTATGAATTAATAGCTAACCTCACAGGTGTTCCTTCTGTGCCAGGCATTGTTCTGAGATGTTTACGTGCATAATTTCACTTAATCTTCATGAGGACCTTACGACATAAGTAGTGTTATTATCCCCATTTTATAGAGAAGCAAACAGAACATAAGAGGCTAACTGGCCACAGTCAGATGGCTGGAAAAGCTGGACTCAATTCCCGGCAGTCCCACTCAAGGGCCTGGCCACTGGGGCAAGATCAGGCTGAGCCTTGGTGCAGGGTCTGGTAGATGATCACATGGCTACCAAGGCCAAAGGTCGCTGAGAGGTGATGGGGGAAGAAGGCTGAGAAGGCATTGGAGTTGATGACTGAAGCCATCAATGGCCCTGGGAGGTGGCATTTCAGGCAAAGGTGGGGTGGACGCCAATTTGTAAGGTGTGAATTAGAGCCAGGTATGAATGGGAACCTGGTAAGGGCTGGGAACAGCTGGCAAAGCGCACACATCCCGTGAATTCATCACAGAAAGCAGGGAAGCCAGGCTCAGCTACGGAAAGCAAGAGAGTCCAACACCAGCTTTGATTTTTGCTCACGATGATGTTTGCAAGGCATGATAATGAAGCGGGTAGAGAATAGGCCCAAAGAGCCCCAGTGGGCCCATGAAGGAGACAGGTCTGTGGCAGGCGGGAGAAGAGGGGCCAGTGTGCCGGCTGAGGGGACCGGTTGGTCACAGGCTTGTGGAGAGCACCTCTTCCTCTGGAGAAGGGAAGATGAAGGGAACAGGTAAAGGTGCAAGCCACGATTAGCTGGTGAGGGGGCATGGGCATCAGAAAAGCTGGGGGGCAGAGGTGTTGGCATAGGGGCCAGTGGGAAGGACAGTAGCCATTCAGGAAACCCTGAGGACCTGTGAGCATGCCTGCTCGGCTCAGCAGGAGGAAAAAGGACCTGCTATGGCCAGGTTTTCACAAGGTTCTGGGATATTGCCTTTTTCTCTTTTCGTGTTTATTGCGAAATAATTTCAGATTTACATATAAGTTACACAAATAGTACAGAGCATTTGCAGTCTATATTCTGACCCTACCCATTGGCTTTACTTATTCAA